CAGATTTAGAAAATCACATTATAATCCAGTACACACAAGGCAAAGCCAGGCAAACATTGTTTCAGTTCTCCTCTTCTCTGTACACTCTCTCTATGCTGGCTGTCAGGTGCAAAGGACAGAGCTTAAAACAGTGACTGACAGGGAGCTAAGAAGGACGCACATATTTACACAATAAGGAGATGTGGATAGCTACATTTGTTTTTATTTTTTACATCTCTTAAATACAATTTGATAAATATAAAGATAGGTAGATATAATATTAAAAATCCTGGGGAGTAACAGCTCCCTGAAATACCAGGGTTAATTATCACTGATTTATCCTATTTTAAAAAGCGTGTGCCCACATCATCATCTCATTATTACATTAGTAAATTGTAGAAAATTTGATATGTTGCACATCAGGAAAGGAATAATAGTTCAAACGAATATGACAAAACAACAATAGTACTGGAGTCTCCTTTGATGATCATATGTACAGTTCAATATTTTTGTTCTATAGAACATGATAAGATTCGCTATATGTAATGAATGCATTGTACACCTCCCTAAGGTAATATCTGATATTTAGCATGTATGCGGGTGGACATGTGATTAAGTGAAATGTTTGGTTTTTGTTATACTTTCTCAAAGTATTCTATTTTTATGATTCAGTTATTCACTAAAGTTAGAATTCAAAGTGATTTTAAAGCGAATTTCAAAAGTAAGGTCAAAATAGCTGAATTGGAAAAAAAATGTCTACGTCAGCTAGCTATACATTCAGTTCTGCTACTGTGGCCTTTGAATTCACTTTGAATTCTCACTTTAGTAAATAACCCTGTAAGTATTTGTTTTTCTTTTTAAATAAAGCATGTGGAATAAATCAGTGTTGTTTCTTGTTACCTTCCGTAATCATAGTTGATTCTTTGGCACAATTAATTATGAAGCAGAATAAAATATTTATTCTAATGGGTGGGTTCGGCTGGTGAAAATCCATAGAAAACCTTGGCATATGATACGGGCCATAAATCAGCCAGACACGCAGTGTCCTAGTCACAGATCGCAATGCAATGTTTTTACAACGCTCTTATATTTTGTTAGACTCTGCCTGAGGGTCAGAGCTATGAGCGTGTTCTTGCATGCACAACCGGTTATTTATTACAAGGTACCCGATGTTTCTTTTCTTAAGTGAGTTGATCTATTAACCACTTGGTACATGCTAATTATCGGCCTGACTAGCCAGGCATCATGGGAACCATAGTCCACAAATGATGGAGAGCCAGATATTAATCATCACTTATTAAGGTGTGTTCTTTTGCTTTAGGCATTGCAGTGAACTCCAAAATATATAAGACGGGGGTTGCTTTATAGAATGACTAAGTCTAGATGAGAGTGAAATGCATCAAAGTGTTTGTCAGATGGTATAGAAGACAAGCTTTACATAAATGCAGTGGTATTTAAGTGTATTACATGGTCTTAAAATCTGCATTCCTAACACTATAGTGCTCTCTGGTAGTGATGTCGCGAACATGAAATTTTCGGTTCGCGAACGGCGAACGCGAATTTCGGCAAATGTTCGCGAACTCGCGAACCGGGCGAACCGCCATAGACTTCAATAGGCAGGCGAATTTTAAAACACACAGGGACTCTTTCTGGCCACAATAGTGATGGAAAAGTTGTTTCAAGGGGACTAACACATGGACTGTGGCATGCAAACTCCGATCCGCGGCTGCATCTTGCAGCCGCTTAGTAGATAACTCCCTAATTCCCACGGTATTAGAGAGCTATCTACTAAAAGGCTGAAAGACCTAAATTGGTCTTTCAGCCACATTTACTAATACTAAGTAAAGATTACTTAGAATTAGTAAATTCTGCCCCTACTCGCTATGCAGCGAGTAGGGGCATGTCTAGTAAGCAGTGAGCAGCCAGTAATAAATGGCTGCTCACTGTAAAAAAAAAAAAACAAAAAAAAAAACTATTGCCCCCACCCCTGTGCGACGGGTGGGGGCCATAAATTACAATGGGGGGGAGGACCTATTGTCCTCCCCCCCCGGCCCCCACCCCTGGGCGGCGGGTGGGAGCCATAAAGATAATGAGGGGGGGACCTACTGTCCTCCCCCCCGCCCCCACCCCTGCGCGGTGGGTGGGGGCCATAAAAATAATGAGGGGGGGACCTACTGTCCTCCCCCCCGACCCCCACCCCTGAGCGGTGGGTGGGGGCAAATAAATCACAATGGGGGGGGGGACTTAAGGTCCTCCCCCCTGGCCCCCACCCCTGAGCGGCGGGTGGGGGCCCTAAATACTAAAAAGGGGGGGACCTAATGTCCTCCCCCCGTCCCCCACCCCTGAGCGGCGGGTGGGGGCCCTAAATACTAAAAAGGGGGGGGACCTAAGGTCCTCCCCCCTGGCCCCCACCCCTGAGCGGCGGGTGGGGGCCCTAAATACTAAAAAGGGGGGACCTAATGTCCTCCCCCTGGGCCCCCACCCCTGAGCGGCGGGTGGGGGCCCTAAATACTAAAAAGGGGGGGACCTAAGGTGCTCCCCCCCGGCCCCCACCCCTGAGCGGCGGGTGGGGGCCCTAAATACTAAAAAGGGGGGGAACCTAAGGTAAAAATCCACCAATCAGAGTACTCTGTGTCATTTTACACAGCGTGGGAAAGTTCTTTATAAGCCTTCCCCCGCCCTGCAGAGCTCAGTCTGCGCGGAGCCCTCGCCGGGTGAAGATGGATTTTTTTATTTGCGCTGGTTTTTTTTTTTTATTTTTTTTTTTTTTTAATTGTGTCGGTTATTATGGTTTTTTATTTGCCCTTTTTTGGGGCTGAAAAAAGAAGATTTAGAAGAAAGAAAACATTGAATGGTAAGTTTTATTTTTTTTTTACAGGTACTTAGTTAACGGTCCCCCCCTCATTATTTTTAGGGTGAGGGGGGTAGGTAGGGGGTTAATTATTTTTTTGGGGGGGAGGGGGTGACTAGGGGTTTGGGGACCCCTAGTCACCTGGAGGGAGGACACATTTTTTTTAGGGCGCCCACCTGCCGCTCAGGGGTGGGGGCAGGGGGGGAGGACCTTAGGTCTCCCCCCTTTTTAGTATTTAGGGCCCCCACCCGCCCAATTGTGGGTGGAATGGGGGAGGACACAGGTCCCAGGGCCCCCACCCGCCGCTCAGGGGTGGGGGCTGGGGGGGAGGACCTTAGGTCCCCCCCCTTTTTAGTATTTAGGGCCCCCACCCGCCACTCAGGGGTGGGGGCCGGGGGGGAGGACATTAGGTCCCCCCCCTTTTTAGTATTTAGGGCCCCCACCCGCCACTCAGGGGTGGGGGCCAGGGGGGAGGACCTTAGGTCCCCCCATTGTGATTTATTTGCCCCCACCCACCGCTCAGGGGTGGGGGCCGGGGGGAGGACAGTAGGTCCCCCCCCTATATCATTGAGTAAACTTTGACAACCCCCACCCCCGAGCGGCGGGTGGGGGGTTGTCAAAGTTTACTCAATGATATGGAATAGGGGCGGACCGAACATCGCATATGTTCGCCCGCCGTGGCGAACGCAAACATGCGATGTTCGCCAGGAACTATTGGCCAGCGAACTGTTCGGGACATCTCTACTCTCTGGTCCCCCCTCCCTCGCAGCACAAAAAGGGTTAATAAAAGTTTATTTACTCACCCGATTCCCAAAGTCCCTCTTTGCTGGGTGAGTGTCCTGCCTCCTCCGATGTCATCTGATGGGGGAACTAATGTGCATGTGCGGGAAGCGCATAAGGCCCTCCCCATAGGCAAGCATTGATTTCACTGACCCTGAATGTCCTCATGCAGAGCGTAATAAGGTCTGGTGTAATTTAGGGAACCCAGAATCCGGTAAACTCTCGGAAGCGCCTCTAGTGGCTGTCTGGTAAACCACTGAAAGCTCTCTTAGTACTGCAATGTATACATTGCAGTTTCTCAGTAACTGCAATATTTTACATTGCAGGACTAAGGGGGACAGGGACAGTGCACCAAGACCACTGTAGTAGTGGGAGCCAAGCCACACACTGGGAGAGTGCCACACACCGATTAGAGTCTGCCCACACACTGAGGAGCCACACCAACACACTAAGACTGGCTGCTTTGTGTGTGTGTGCCAAGTGGGGGCTTCTGCTGGGTTTGTGGGAAAGAGCTGACAGCCAACCACTATCTCCCTCTCTCCCAAAGTGAGAACCCACGCAATTAGGAGCAATGAAGCTATTAGAGGCCTAGAAGCAATACCATAGGGCAGAGGAGTTATGTATGTATTGTGGTAAGAAGGGACATTTGTGCAGATCTTCTGGAAAACTCGTGCACCTAAGCGCCGTTAAGGGACCGGCCCTAAGTGTTATGCATACGTCTTCAACCATGCCTCATAAAAGATGGTTTCTTTCTGTTATTACTTCCTGGGGTACTCAGGAGGTTAAATGTAGAGCTCTCATTGATTCAGGAGCTGCTGAAAACTTTATTAATCAGGCTTTTGTTACTTTGCACAACATACCACTCAGAGGGATACCCACACCTTTGGCCGTTGAGGCCATAGATGGTAGACTTCTTTAGACACCTATAATAACCAAGGACATGTGTTCTTTAACACTCTCCAAAGGGTCTCTACATAAGGAAGATATTATCCAATAGGTTATCTACTCACCTTCCTGTTCCTTGGCTGGGTAAACATAATCCTGTCCTCGACTGGAGACAGGGAGAGGTATGCTCATTTGGTGAAAGGAGAGCTGCCTACGTACCATTTAAACTGTTTAAATCATTAATGTATCCTTAAGGGCTCCCTGATCCACTCTTGTACCACCACAGTATGAATTAGCCAAAGAGGTATTTAATAAGACTCATGCAGGGACATTACCTCCACACAGACTGTTTGATTGTGGTATCGATTTGTTACTTGGTACTATACTTCCTAGAGGCAGGGTATATCCTTTATCCTGGAAAAACAAAGTGTCCCACACAGGGACAAGCGAACCTAGACAGGGGGTAACCCTAAAATTTAATCATACAGAGAGAGTATTTGTCCAAGGGACAGAGTCACAGTGGGTACACAAAAAGGTTCCTTGTTAAATAAACTATGTAAAACATAGGAACCTTTTTGTGTACCCACTGTGACTCTGTCCCTTGGAGATATACTCTCTCTTTATGTATATCCTTTGTCTCCTCACAAGAGCAAAATAATGTAGGAATACATCCAAGACACCTTCGGAAAAGGTTTCATACGTAGATCATCCTCACCTGCTGGTGCAGGATTTTTATTTGTTTCTAAAAAAGAGAGTGAGCTATACCCCTGTATCAATTATCGATTAAGAAACATGGAATGTGACGGCAGATAAGAACCATTCTGCCCATCTAGCCTGCCAAATTTTCTAAATATCTTCATTAGTCCCTGGCCTTATTTTAAGTCTAGGATAACCTTATGCATATCCCATGCATTCTTAAACTCCTTCACTGTGTTAACCTCTACCACTTTAGCTGGAAGGCTAGTCCATGCATCCACTACCCTCTCAGTAAAGTAATACTTCCTGATATTATTTTTAAACCTTTGCCCCTCTAATTTAAGACTATGTCCTCTTATTGTGGGAGTTTTTCTTCCTTTAAATATGGTCTCCTCCTTTACTATGTTGATTCCCTTTATGTATTTAAATGTTTCTATCATATCCCCCGTCTCGTCTTTTCTCCAAGCTATACATGTTAAGACACTTTAACCTGTCCTTGTAAGTTTTATCCTTAAATCCATGAACCAGTTTAGTAGCCCTTCTCTGAGCTTTCTCCAAAGTATCAATATCCTTCTGGAGATATGGTCTCCAGTACTGCGTACAATACTCCAAGTGAGGTCTCACGAGGGTTCTGTACAATGACATGAACACTTCCCTCTTTCTACTGCTAATACCTCTCCCTATACAACCAAGCATTCTGCTAGCATTTCCTGCTGCTCTATTACACTGTCTGCCTACTTTTAAGTCATCTGAAATTATTACCCCTAAATTCCTTTCCTCAGATTTCCCTTTCCTCTGACCTTGGAATTTTACATCCAAGATGCATTATCTTGCCCTTATCCAAATTAAATGTCAATTGCCACAGCTCTGACCATTTTTCTAGTTTACCTAAATCATTTGCCATTTGGCTTATCCCTCCTGGAACATCAACCCTGTTACATATTTTTGTACCACCAGCAACAAAAATATACCTTACCATCAAGACCTTCTGCAATATCACTAATAAAAATATTAAAGATAACAGGTTCAAGTACAGATCCCTGAGGTACCCAGCTGGTAACAAGACCTTGCTTCGAATATACTCCATTGACTACAACCCTATGTTGCCTGTCACTCAGCCACTGCCTTACCCATTCAACAATATTGGAGTCCATACTTAAAGATTGCAGTTTATTGATAAGCCTTCTATGTGCGGCAGTGTCAAAAGCCTTACTGAAATCTAGGTAAGCAATATCTACTGCACCACCCTGATCTAATGTTTTAGTTACCCAATCAAAAAAATCAATAAGATTAGTTTGGCATGACCTCCCTGCAGTAAACCCATGCTGTCTCTGATCTTGAAATCCCTGTGATTTTAGATGGTTTCCATTACTTTCCCCACTACTGAAGTAAGGCTTACTGGCCTATAATTGCCTGACTCCTCCCTACTACCTTTCTTGTGAATGGGCACAACATTTGCTAATTTCCAATCTTCTGGGACTACTCCCGTTAACAATGATTGGTTACATAAATCCGTCAATGGTTTAGCTAGTACACCACTAAGCTCTTTTAATAACTTTGGGTGTATTCCATCAGGCCCCATCGACTTATTTGTCTTTACTTTTCACTCACATGTAACAAATGACTCATGTGTCCTTTTCCCTAACTGAGGTCCCTTTCCTTCATTTTCATCTGTAAATACTGAAGAAAAATATTAATTGAGGCAGTCAGCCAGACCTTTATCCTCTTCTACATACTTACCTTCTTTTGTTTTTAATCTAACTAATCCTGGTTTTACTTTCCCTTTCTCATTTATGTATCTAAAAAAATGTTTTGTCCCCCTTTTTTTCTCTTCTGTGTGTGACTTGGAAGCTCTTATAACTTGCTTTGCCTCTTTCTGCCTAATCTTATAGATCTGTCTATCTTGCTCACTGTGGTTTTTTTTATAATTACTAAATTCTAACTTATAGTTTTTTACTATTCTGGCCACTTCTGCAGACTACCACAGTGGTTTCTTTAATTTTTTGCTCTTACTGACAAGCCTAATACAATTTTCTGTTGCCTTCAGTAGTGCAACTTTTAAATAATCCCATTTCTCTTGGACTCCATTTAAACTGCTGCAGTCTGATAATGACTCCTTGACACACATTCTAATTTTAAAATCTATTTTTCTAAAGTCTAAAACTTTTGTTTTTGTGTGGTGTGACTCAGTCACTGTTCTTATATTAAATCACACTGACGGATGATCATTGGATCCTAAACTTTCACCTACAGTAATGTCTGATACCAAAATCTCCATTTGTTAACACCAAATCTAGTATGGCCTCCTTACGAGTTGGCTCATCAACGACTTGTTTTAGAAATAGTCCCAGTAATGAGTTTAGAATATATGTGCTCCTGGCACAAGCAGCTATTTTGGTTTTCCACTTAACATCTAGATTAAAGTCACCCATGATGATAACTTCCCCCTTCATTGTCATTTTAGCTATGTCCTCAACCAGTAGATTATCTAACTCTTCTATTTGTCCTGGGGGCCTATAAATCACACCTACACAAGTTACTGTGTGATTACCAAATTCTAACGTAACCCAAACTGACTCTATGTTAGCCTCACTAACTTTTATTAAGCTAGATTTTATGTTATCCTTCACATACAGGGCCACCCCTCCCCCTTTCTTGCCTTCCCTGTCTTTTCCTTATAAAAAGTACCCTGGTATTGCTACGTCCCAGTAATTTTTCTCATTATACCATGTCTCAGTAACATCGACTAAATCTACATTATCGGTTAACATTATTGCCACAAGTTCATGGATCTTATTCCCTAAACTGCGAGCATCTCTAGACATGACTCTAAGCTTATAATTTTTTAACACACTTGCTACAGGCACTTTCTGAACTTGTTTTGGGGGACAATGTTTTATCACCCCCCCCCCCCCTAGTTTAACTACATCCTAGCAAAACCTCTGAACTGCTCACTGAGAACTCTTGTTCCCTTTTATGAAAGATGCAAACCATCTTTTTTGTACAGATCATTTCCATTCCAAATAGAGCTACCATGAGAAATGAGGTCAAATCCTTGCTCCAGACACCATTCACCAAGCCACAAGTTAAAGTCCCTAATACACATCCGCCTATCATTCTGAGTGTTATGCACAGGCAGAACTTCAGAGAATGACATTGTGGAAGCAACCTGCCGTATATCATTGGCAAAAACACAAAAACCTTCCTTTACCTCTGAAACCTCATTGCAAGCCAAGTCATTTGTCCCTGTATGGGACATATATCCTACACAACTTATTTTAGAGCTTTTTGAAAGACTTCATGAGTACACTTAGGAATGCTTACAATTGACCTTAGGAGTGCTTACCATCTAGTCAGGATAAAGGAGGGACATGAGTGGAAACCCACTTTTAACACAAGGAGTAGACATTACGAGTATTCGGTGATACCATTTGGGTTATGCACTGCTCCAGCGGTTTTCCAGACTTAATGTACTTAGAGTGTATATTAATACCTGCATTTTAGTATATCTGGACAAGATACTTATTTACTTTCCTGACCAATCCACACATCATGTTTATGTTAAACAAGTACTCAATACACTCTTGAGGAGTGGATTATTTTGTAAACTAGAAAGGTGTTTGTTGTATTTATAGTGTTTACACTTTAAAGGTTACATCATATCAGCTGTAGGATTTAAAATTGTTCCTACCAAATTAGAATCCATCTTGCAATGACCTATGGTCAAGAGTCTGAAAGCAATCGAGAGATTTATAGGATTTGCAAACTGTCATTGTTGATTCATTAAAGGCTTTTCTTCTGTGATTGTACCTACCACCAGTCACACTCGTAAGGGGACCAATTCCCAGGCCTGGTTCCCAGAGGCCATATCTGCTTTCAATCAGTTAAAATCCCTGTTTGCCACTTCTCCGGTTCATGTACATCCTGATCCTGATCTTGGATGTTGATGCTTCAGAAACAAGTGTAGGAGCTGTTCTCTCCCAAAGAGAAGCTCATGAGAAGCCTATTAATCCATGCAAATTTATCTAAAAAAAATGTGTCTGCTGTTGAAAATAATTATGACAATCAGAACAGAGAATTGTTGTCTATAATCCTTGCCCTTAAGGGGTGAAGGCATTTATTTGAAGGTTCTGCTGTACCCATCATGATAATTACAGATCATAAAAACTTGGCAAACATCAGCCAACATACATCCCTGTTTTTCAGACAGGTAAGATGGTCTCTGTTTCTCACTAGATTTAATTTTATCATCACATATAGACTCCCAATGTAAAGACTGATGCATTGTCAAATCAATTTTGAAACAGTCTGAAAAAGAACAAGGCATTTCTCCCATCATTCCACCAGAATGCACAATAGCTGCTTGACTACTATCAATGTCCTCTTTGTTCAAAAAGAGAGAATACAGGCAGCTCAAGTAATTGCCTCTGTCGATAAGCCACCAAACAAGTTGTATGTCCCACTTGCAGAAGGAAAAGAGATCCTTTCTTTGTATCATGATAACAAATCTGCAGGACATCCAGGTAACTTCAAAACTGCATCCACTGTTATAAGACAGTTTTGTTGGCCTTCTTTATCTTAAGATACAAGTGCATATGTTTAGGCTTGCACTACTTATGCTATGACAAAAAGCTCTCATCAATTTCCTTTTGGCCTTCTACAACCGCTTCCAGTACCAGAAGTAGCATGTTCCAATTGGGCAGTGGACTTTATTGTAGATTTACCTCCCTCAAGAGGGTGCACCATCATCTTAATGGTAGTATATTGTTTCTCAAAAATTGTCTATTTGATTCCTCTCCCTAAATTATCTATGTCTGCTGAGCTAGCCAAGATCTTCATTAAGGATATCTTCTGGTTACATGGACTCCTTAAAGAAATTGTGTCTAACAGGGGAACATAGTTCAC